CTTAAAGCATTTCCACAGGAAATGTTTATATTTTTCATGACATTCTAAATCATTTAGCAATTACATACAAATGCTACATTAACTAAAACACAGATATTCTTTATTGCACATTTGAAAATTATAAGGATGCTCTAGCTTAAGAGGCGATTTTTATCTAGGGAGGAAAACCATATTTTTGAATTGTTTGGCTCAAAAACGCACACTGCTAAGGCAGCTTAGTTCTAAAACAAACATCTTAAAGTGAACTTCTGGATTTTGAAGCCAACGAAGTCCTTTACTGTTAATGAATAGTGTATAGTCCACTTTCTCCCCAACCGTCAGAGTTATAGTTACGGGCTCTGCTTTAATGCCCGTGAACAGTCCTGGCTACTGCTCTGAGAGGCAGGTAAAGGCTCCTCTCTCAAGCCTGAAGGCAGTAAGTTTCTTGCAGCAGGTGGTGGCGGGTAATCCTGGGGGCCATGTGTTGGGGGTGGTAATCGGCTACCAGGAATAAAGTACTCTCCTGGGCCAAGAGAGCCAAAAGGTCTAAATGGTGTGTGTCCTGGTACAAATCCCCGAGGGTCAAAAGGCAGGTCCCATCTTCCAGGTGGAACGCCTGGTGCATATTCTCTTAAGTCTAGTGGTGGACGCATACCAGGACCTGGAAAACAAATATTCAGTCATGTAAAAATACCTAGGAACGTATCTAAATTAAGATGATTCCAGGTACATTAATATATTCTCTAATTTCTCACAACCCTACAATGTCAAGTGGTGGCATCCAGGTTTTATAGATGAGGCAAACTGAGACTTAGCATTTTTAAGTTACATGCCTTTGGCCAGCCAGCCACGAAGGAGCATAGGCAGGATTTAAACATGGCTCTACCTAGCTCCACACCTGCATTCTTTCCACTATACACATCTTGCCATCTTTTTCTCATAAGAGCTCAATTTGTACTTGGACGTACCATAATACCATACCAAAGTGACAGATTATGAAATAGGGCTTCTCTGCAACAAAGAAATTTTGATAAAGGAAACTCCATTGTCTACTACTGTAAAAATTCATGCAATAGCTTAGCATGGAACTAACATACGCCATCAAAATCAAGGTGCTTGCCCTGCTGGAGAAGACCTTCTAGCTTCATCCAACTAAATNTGAGTTCAGCCCATGGTTGCTGACTAAGGCCTGTTATAAGCCTCATAGTCCTAAACCATTCCTTTTCATGGTACCATCCTGTAATCTCTTTTGTCATAATCCTTGAAAATCATTGGCAAGGTAAGGAAAGATAGTAGACTGTGTACATTTTTAAAAAGGCATTTCCTACTTTTATGGTCACATCATTTCCATTTTTCTGTTACGGACCCTTAAGTAAGAATGGTAAAAGCAGGGCCGGCCCCGTGGCTCACTCAGGAGAGTGAGGCGCTGGTAGCCCCGAGACCGCAGGTTCGGATCCTATATGGGGATGGCCAGTGCGCTCACTGGCTGAGCGTGGTGCAGACAGCCACCAAGCCAAGGGTTACTTACGATCCCCTTATCAGTAAAAAAAAATGGTAAAAGCAAAAGAACATCAGGTCAAACAACTCTTGCTACTAATGTAAACTCATGCTTAGAAAACCATTCTCAATAGGCAGTGAAGGGTAGCATGGTTAGCTTAGTCGGTTAGAGCACAGCCTTATAACACCAAGGTCATTGGATCCCTGTACCGGCCAGCTGCAAAAAAACCCAAACAAAATAGGCAACAAGAGAAGCAAGCATGTGAATGCTGTGTAAGTGGGACCACTGACTTCTTTGAAATAAAGGAAGAAATCACTTGTGGAATTCGCAGGTGACTTTTAGGTTGAATCCTTAGCAGTAAGCAACAGGGAGTGTGCTGCCAAGTCACAGTCTTTAGTTCTGAAGAGTTTCAGTTTACATGTTCCCCAAATGTCACAAATATCATGATAATCAAATGAAACAGATACTTGGGAAATATTAATAAAACAAATTTTTATTAACTATTACTACAGAGAACTTCAGCAAGAGGGGAGATAAGTTTAGTGATCTTTTAGTAAACATTTTTAGCATAACAGTCTTATAAACACCATTGCTATGTATTTATCTGGTGCATACTAAAAACTGGATAATGGAAATACATGTTCTTAAAGCATTTCCACAGGAAATGTTTATATTTTTCATGACATTCTAAATCATTTAGCAATACCAGGAATAAAGTACTCTCTCGGGCCAAGAAAGCCGAAAGGTCTAAATGGTGTGTATCCTGGTACAAATCCCCGAGGGTCAAAAGGCAGGTCCCGTCTTCCAGGTGGAACGCCTGGTGCATATTCTCTTAGGTCTAGTGGTGGACGCATACCAGGACCTGGAAAACAAACATTCAGTCATGTAAAAATACCTAGGAACATATATAAATTCAGGTAATTCCAGGTACATTAATATATTCTCTAATTTCTCACAACCCTAGAACGTCAAGTGGTGGCATCCCGGTTTTATAGATGAGGCAAAGCGACACTCAGCAATTTTAAGTTACATGGCATGCCTTTGGCCAGCCAGCCATGAAAGAGCATAGGCAGGATTTAAACATGGCTCTACCTAGCTCCACACCTGCATTCTTTCCACTGTACAATCTTGCCATCTTTTTCTCATAAGAGCTCAATTTGTACTTGGACGTAACATAATACCATACCAAAGTGACAGATTATGAAATAGGGCTTCCCTGCAACAAAGAAATTTTGACAAAGGAAACTCCATTGTCTACTGCTGTAAAAATTCATGCAATAGCTCAGCATGGAACTAACATATGCCATCAAATTCAAGGTGCTTGCCCTGCTGGAGAAGACCTTCTAGCTTCATCCAACTAAATTCAGCAACATTCACTGGATAGCTATTACATCCTACCTTCTCTTTAAAAACTCCTCCTCTAATCCCAAGTGAGGAGTGAGGCTTTAACCTTTCCTTCTTTTGTGTTCTGTGACCCATTTCTTATGCTTCTGTTATAGCTGATCACAAGCTTTATGGGTAGAATCTATGTGTCTGTGATCTATAGGACATCTTGAGTTAAGGGATGTGTCTTAACCACCTTTCTATCCATTGCAGAGCCCAGTACTTAGCCATGGGTGTTTAATAAACACCTGCAGAAGTAATATTTCTGTCTATCACTAGCTCCTTTCCTTGTCTAGACGAGATAGTTGCTGCCATCTCAGTACAGGGAGACTGTGTAGCACTCCACGTGTCCTAAGAACTTGAGCCAAAGTTGAAATGTACTCAGTCAGATTTATCCTTCTATTGCAAAGCCCTGCAACAGCAACTGTTTTAGCGAGGAACAGAGAGAAAAGATGAATATGGTTTACAAGTCAGTTACTACTATTCAAATCATCGTACCGAATGGTGGAGGAAATGGCCGAGGCCAGAAAGGCCCGCAGAGCTGAGGAGGTGGTCCATATCGAATGGGTGGTGGGATGGGGCCTCCAACCAGGGAGCTCATGGGGGGCACCCCCCAAAAAGGAGGTGGTGGTCCTTTAGGAGCCATATTAACCTGCAAAATAGAAACAATTCAAGTTTTGAAAATACTTCGGTATGACAGACAAAAGCACCAACACCAGTAAAAGGTAAAACCCAAAGAAGCAGATGTCAGACACCTGTCCAAAGAACGGAATCAGTGCAACAAAATTCTACCCCTCCCCCATTTGTTCTCACTGACAGCTTAGAGAGGTTATAGGGATGCCACATGAGTGAACAGTCTCACTGTAAGCATATTACTGTTTGTGTCTGCGAATGGAAGGGAAAAGTAAGAGGAATGTCAAAGGTTATCAATGGAGATGACTCTTGATTAATAAAAAAGTCATACCACACACACTGTGATGTACCTGTAAGGCAGTCACTCCCTCCATTCACCACAATAGCTCTTTATTTCCATGTTAAGAATGCAGAGAAAAGGAATGAAAAATCCATTCTCTACACATGTCCTAATAGCTACTAGGCAGAGTACCTTCAAAAGGGCTTTTGTATATCTTGAATTCTCAGATCTCTAAATCTCTAAGTATGACCATCTTATTTTCATTATGAGAGAACAGAGTTTTAGATAATTTGCTGAAGGTCCCCCAGCATGGAAGAGGCCAAGCTGGAATTCAATACCAGGTTTGCCTCCAAGCCCTTGCTCTTTCCACCTGTGCTTTGCCTCTCTAACAAAGCGGTCTCTACTCTCTCTAAAGTCTTCCGCCTCAAAGGGCTTTTGGGTCTTACCCAAGCTTCCCTTGGATAAAGAGATCTCTCAAGAGATATGTGTTCCTGGAGTCCTGCCCTGGAACTCGGAAGTATCTTCCAACAGAAACAATGTTATATATGCAATTAGGCAGGCACAGCTCTAATACTTACCTTCATTCATTAGAAATACTATATATTATAAGATACTGACTAATCATTTCCTATGGTAAACTGGGTTGGAAACTCTAAATATTTAATACTTTGATTTCAACATAGAGAAGCACTATGAGGTATGATCAGAAGACTTACCAGCTATAACAGCTACAGAAGTAACAAGAGAATACAGTTATGTGAACATAATTTAAGGCCATTGCTGGGAACGGAATCAACAGGTAATTACAGATTTTCACTACTATTTCACTTGCAGCAAACATTCTTCTGTTATCAACCTGTAACTTCAGATCATTCAAAGTAGGCTTTGCCAGGGCCGGCCCGTGGCTCACTTGGGAGAGTGTGGTACTGATAACACCAAGGCCATGGGTTCGGATCCCTATGTAGGGATGGCCGGTTAGCTCACTTAGAGAGCGTGGTATTGACAACACCAAGTCAAGGGTTAAGATCCCCTTACCAGTCATCTTTAAAAAAAAAAAAAAAACCGAACAACAACGTAGGCTTTCCCTAGCATACAAGTGGAGAAATTCTTAAATAACAATCTTCCAAATAAAGATATAATAATGATGGGTTTTGCAACTTAAAGTGAATTTACTTTGCCTAAGAGCATTCAACACTGAATCACACAATATAGTTGAAATGATGACTTTTCACCTTTTTAAAGTTAATTACAATTATAGCAGATGCTCTGAACAGGTTAACTGTCTAACCAAAACAGGCAAGAGAAGAAAAAAAAACAACTAACCAACTAGTCAGATTTCAGCAACATTCCCAAATCAAGGACAAGGGTGAGATCAGTACTGCAGTGCAATTTAAAGCCAAGTACATCAGTACTCCTCATATCCTTTCCAGAAATACACCAAGTAAAAGCCCAGTCCAGTCCTCGACCTCTATGTACTTACTGCTCCTGGATGCTCAGCCATAGAAGTAATGCTGGGAACTAAAGGGCCTTCAGGGTCTTGGGGAACAGTTTGCTTTTTTTTTTTTTTGTCTTTTTCCGTGTCCGGCAACGGATCACAACCCTCAGTGTCGCCCCCGCACCGGACCGGGACCAGCAACAGGATCGCAACCCTCGGCGTTGCTCCCGCGCCTCGCTCAGCCAGTGAGCGGGAAGCGGTCTGCACGTGGGATCCGAACCCTCGGCGGGAGCGCAGCCACGCTTCCCAAGCGGCGCACTACAGCAGTGCGCCACCGGGCCAGCCCAACAGTTTGCTTTTTAAAAAATAAACAATAGAACACACAAAGAGGAGATGAGGCAAAGAGAGAGTGCTGTAGGAAAAGCTGAATGTTCCTGAAATACCTGATTGTAATTCACAACAGCTGCAGCATTTACCTTGCCCTCGTCCATCACCTTAGAAGGGGAAGAGCTTCTTGAGTTGCTGTTCATCACGGCAGCTGCACCAGATCCTGGGTCTGTCAAAGGCCAGAGTACTTACTTAGACTTATTTTGACTTGTACACTGTGAAAACATCCTCCACTCACCTTCCACCATGACTTTAGACTCTTTGAAAACACTTAGGTCCCTTACCAGAGGCAGAGGGTTTCCCAGACACCTCAGAAGACCATTGAGGATGAGACAGAGGCCTGTCTACTGACCCTTGAGAAAAAGATAACTGAGCCCTTGAATGTATTTATTCAGAAGAAATAAACCAATTGTGGACAGACCTGGGTTCACCTCTACCTAGAAAGCAGCAATAAAAACGGGTCTCCCAATACAATTAAGGGAAATCATTTGTAATTTATGCACAGGCTTAAAGAATTAAAATAAGAACTGTTGTGGATTGAAATAACAGCAATAAACCCTGCACATTAGTAGCACTGGTCCTGTACTTCATTTAAGGTTGATATAGTTCTATACGCTGATTTTATTCACTATATAATCTGACTTCAATATCTTACCTAGCATTATAGACATATTTAGGATTTTTAAAACAATCGTACAGTATTTCAGCTTATAGTGATATATAGAAGTATATATGCTGCATAAACTATAAAGTTTTAAGGCTAGTTTTATAATATTCAGGAGAGGAATCTCACATTTAAAGATAAAAGGTTATACTTCCCAGTAAAAAGTTAAACAAAAAACAAGAAAAGGACCTCCACAGAAATAATAAGTAAATGCTTTCTGTTCTAAAGTAGATCTTGCAGTAGACTATCCACCAAGACAAATTAAGGAATTTGCTTCTGTCTACTGGAAAGATCCAAATTCTACAATGTTATTTGCATTAGAAATCTTGAATAAGAGGGATAGAGCACTCTTGAAACAGTTTATTTCAGGGTCACATGTGAATGCTCACCAAATTCTCTTCTAGGCATATCTCTTCGGTTGAGTGTAGTGGAGAGAGGCCTCCCGGGTGGCTCTGCTGCCAGTGGAGGGGAGCATTCTCCACCACTCACAGGGGATGGGCCAAACGAGCCATTGTGGCTCAGAGGACCTGAAGAAGACAGCATCTTGTTACCACTTTAAGACCTTTTTTTTCTTCGGTAAGTTCTTCGAATTATTTCTAGGGCATCATAACTATTACACACAAAATGAAAAGTAATCTATATACGCTTTACACCAAAAAACAGATTGCTGCTTTTTACGAAATGTTTCCCACCTCTCCGTGGAGGGTTTTGTGTGTTTTGTCTTCCTGGCATTGGTTTTACAATCACAGGCTCTTCTTGCAGCAGTGCCACCTTCTGAGTTATTTCCAATAATCTTGAATATAGAGAGAGAATGGACTTAAATATGAAATAGAAATCAATTCCTTATTGGAGACCACATAGTACCTTTAATAAACTAAACTGCACAGAAAATAGAGATATCAAAATCACTTACTTGAGTCTCAGGTCAGCGGCTTCCCTTTTCTCTTCAGCTATAGCCCTTTCTGCAGCGTGAAATTTTACCTGTTGGAGAAAATATATTTAAATTCAGTTGTGGTAGATTACTCAGAAAGTAAAGGAAAGAAAGAAAATCTTACCCAGTTAGCATGTACTTTTTTTTCCTGAGCAGCAATCTGAAAAGATACATCAAAAAATATGTTTTGGAATTCATTATAATAGCCATGATAACAGTCTGTATTCGATACCAAAGAATTCTGCAACTGTAGGGCAGTATAATTATTACCTGGTTTCTAAATGAGCGCTGTGTTTTCTGCAATTCTTCCTCCATTTCTTCAATTCTCCGCCTAAGAATTACATTTGTTTTTACCAGTTAAAGCACAACTGGATAAAAATTCAAACAATCTGGCCACAATCCCTATACTCTTAACAACTGTACCCTAAAAGAGTTCATCCATACATATAAACACATATTTACATGGTTATATAAATAGAGTACAACAATGATGAAAACTAATGCTACACAATTTCCTTATTATTTAATGGCTAGAAATTCTGAGTCGATGGAGATTATGAGTCCTTATTATTTAATGGCTAAGAGTACAACAATGATGAAAACTAATGCTACACAATTTCCTTATTATTTAATGGCTACAAATTCTGAGTCGATGGAGATTATCAGTTGTTGAATTATAGTTTCCTTATATGTTCTTCAATATGTTCCCAAATAATCCTATTAATATCTTCCTTGATAAAGTTTTTCCCCCTTTTATCAGAAAACTTCCAAGAGTTATGACTACTGCATCTATCAAATGGCACAGTACCTTTAATGGCTTTTGATACATCTTATAACAAATTGGTCTCTTAAAGAATTACTGCAATACATACTCCCCTCGCCCCCAAACTGTTTACATGAACCAAGTTCCCTTACAGTCTTGCCAGCACTGGGTATAAAATTTAGTTTTTCTCTTGTGTGAACTGAAGGTATTCATGCCCTCTGACATTTATGCTTCTGTACAATTATTTTCTTCTACACAATGTAAAAATGGTTATAAAAAAAGGCTAACACTAGTTTCATTAGCCATTGACACCACCTTTGGAAGCTGAACTCACTTGTAAGTTTTTACTTCCTCTGCAGCCAAAACCGCCTTCTCATCTGCAGTTGACAGCTGCTGCTCTCTTTCTTGCCGCTCATACTCTTCTTGACTCAAATTCCTAAGATAAAACGGGTTCTCAAGTCAAAGTGTTTCTCTTTCTTCCCAGCAGTCTAGCTGAAATCTCTATTCAAATGTCACTTCCCATCCTACTCTCAAAAATACACAGACATACAAAGTCATAGGAAGGAATTCAAACCTGCCATTTAGGGATAAAAATCAAACTGTGGCCTGTTTGAGAATCACCTGCATTTTCTAACTCATAATTTTCTGCTCACTAATGAATGAGACAGATGTAAGAACACTGGGCAACCTCTTGTGCTGGAGATGAAGAAAGCTCACCTTACTTCAGTGTGGAGAGCCACACGAATCAACCGAGCATAGCTAAGCTTATTAGGGTAAAGCGAGGGAGAATTACTTCTCTTATTTCTACCATGGAAAGACCACTAGTTACTTTTCTTATTTTGTTATGGAGGAACTGTTTCTGAAACCAAGACATGATAAAGGTCGCCAGGCAAAGAGCCTTGGAACATGTCATGTAACTATGCAATTAACAGTAGAACATTTTCACGTGTCAGATGTGGAATTCCTACTACCAACTTCGATGGAATCATGATTAAGGAAATAGGCCAATCTGAGTATTGGCAATGTTTATTGAACAGAAGAAGAATCCAAACTGTCCCATAATCCGGGTGTTATCTACTGGAAACTGGTTTCAACCTAATAACCTTCAAGTTCATGATGTCAGTCTACTATAACATAGATTGTAAAGGGAGCAACATTGAATTGTTTAAAAATGCTATTTTCTAGTAACTCTTGTACTTCTTTACCCATAGTTCTGATTCAAGATACTTAAATTGAAACTTAATTTTCTATAAATCAGAAGCAAAATTAGAGGAGCTATAGTAAAAAAAGGTTACTAACACCAAAGAAAAAGGTTTACGTGTTTTTTTATAACTGCTCATTCAGTACTTGAGCAAATATTTTATGTGTGGCTATAATACAACAGTTACCTTGTAAGATGCTAAGATAAAAATATGGGTGTAGTACTATCCCCGCACTAAAAAAAAAGGAGCTCACAGTTTAATGTATAAAAGATATATATAAGAAGAGAACAATTCCTCCCTAACTCTCGTTTAGTAAGAAATAAGAAAAAAGTGAGACTTGAAGAAAGACCAGAGAGAATTTTGCTTCCAATAGTGGATGAGTTAGTCTGAGAACAATTAGAACATCTAGACAAAAATAGAAAGAATGTGCTTGAAGGCATCAGAGAGCTACTAAGGCAGGAAAAGATACATGTGCACGGCCAAGATCCAGTAGGAAAAAGAATCTCAGAATTAGAAGTAAGCCTGGCATTTTATTTTTATTTTTATTTATTTTTTTAAAGATGACTGGTAAGGGGATCTCAACCCTTGGCTTGGTGTTGTCAGCACCACGCTCAGCTAGTGAGCCAACCGGCCATCCCTATATAGGATCCGAACCCGTGGCCTTGGTGTTATCAGCACCACACTCTACCGAGTGAGCCACGGGCTGGCCTAAGCCTAACATTTTAAGCCACTCTTCCCCTAGGTTCATCCACACATTGAAGACAGTGTAGAGAGATAAGGAGGCTGAACATGACTTTTAACAGATATCTGGTTCAGATAAAAAAGAGGTGGAGTTCTGGGCTGCTGGTGATGGGGGAACTCTAGTAAAAGCCCTGGGCTTTGAGTTGAGACTAGAAAGTGCTGGGTACGTGAAATATTAAACTGTCAATACAATGTCCTTTGAAGGAACTATGACATTTTTGAATGACCTTAATTGCTGACTGGATTAAGTGACGACCACTTGCTAGAAATAACCTCAAATATTTCCGGTAGGAAGATCACACCATCCTAGGCCTCGAATTTCCTTTTTCATTATCATATGCAATAGCTGTCACTCAATCTAAACTGACCAGGCACTCCACAAAGACAAGACAATGTGATCAAAATCTAAAATACAAGAGAAATGGACTCAGTGGCTTCACATAATGGAATTATTTTTACACGAACTTACATGTTCAAGAAAGTGAAAGTCAAGATCAAGAATTTCGGCAGAGGATTAGAAATTATAAAATGAAAAATAGTAACTGAAATTAAGAACTCAATGACTGACTTTAGCAGCAGATTTGATAACTGAAATGAGATTTTAGTACATTGGAAGACAGGTCAAAAGAAATTGACAATGCAGGAGATAGAGGAAATAATTTTTAAAAAGCCTAACATGTTTAATTGGTATCTCAGGAGAAGATAAAATGAGGCAAAATTAATATGAAAAAAAAAGACCCCCAAATTCAAGAGGTGTTCGTCACCCAAGCAGCATAAATGCAAAAGAGAGACAGGGAAAGGGGAAAAACGAAAACCCCCCACTTAGGCACCTCCCCATAAAACTGCTGAAAACCAAAAAGAAATATGACTGGAGGTGCTAGGACAGGGGTGAAACATTTGAAAGAGGGGAAAGAAGAATGATAACAGATTCCTCAAGGAAACTTTAAAACCAGAAAATAATCAATTGGTTATCTTTAAAGTGCTGAAATTAAATAACTGCCAAAAATTCTACAGCCAGCAGAAAGATCCTTTAAAACTGGAATGAAAATAAAGACATCTGATACAAAGGTAAACTCATCGAATCTGTTACTAAAAGGATGTTCCAGAAGAATGAAAGTGATCCCAAATGGAAGACCAAAGATGCAGGTGAATAAAGAACTACAGGGACTATAAATGTGTGTGTAAATGGAATGAATATTGTCAGGACAGCACCATGAAAGACAATAAAAAGTCTTGTGGAGCTTGAGGTATACAGAACATTAAAATACATTAGCACAAAAGCACCTAAGTCAGGAAGGAGGTAAAGCCCAGAAAGAGGCAAATCTATTAATTTATGTCAGACTTTTTAATAAGTCTGGGATATAATTCTGTGGTCTTTTAAGCTATGGTCACGTGTCAATTAACAGGGATACGTTCTGAGAAATGCATTGCTATGTGATTTCATCACTGTGTGAACACCAGACTGTGTATGCACACAAACCTAAATGCTATCGCCTACTACACATCTATAATCTGTGGGCCGGCCCGGCCCGGTGGCGCACTGCTACAGTGTGCCGCTTGAGAGCGCGGCAGCGCTCCCGCCGAGGGTTCGGATCCCACATACAGACCGGTTC